GGGAAAAAATTTATGAATGCAACAAAGCCATCATAAATAAGGCCTTAAGGTCATAATAGCCTTGTTTAACCAGAAAGCACCCAACCGATCTACAGTACGATTTCTGATGCTCCAATAAACGCAAATAATAGCTGTTTTTCTCGACAGAAACCGCCGCGATGAGAATGACTGATTATAATACAATTTTCTTTTCAAATAGACATTCAGATAACGATATCACTAAAAAGTCGAAGGTAACAACTCTATAAATATGCAACAATATTGATAAATTTATCGATAACTATTTCGATAATTTTACCGATAACATAAACTTTACAAAAATGTTGCTCTGGATATGTTTAACTATATGAGTTATAATTTAAACGAGGCTAATTGCATGCATTTACATATGTATAAACATTAGGGTGCATCACCAAAAAAAGTGTCGGTTCTCCACCGGAATTATAAATTTTATTATTTTTTAAGACTTGCGCCAAAACATTGCGGATATATTAAGTTTTACGTGGGCTAGACCGATTTAAAAATACCTCCCAAAATCGCATTAGTTTGATGCTGTTAATAAAATGTTCTGTTTAAACATTTTCATCTGAGATGATTTAACAAAAAACGGAAATATTTTCAAAAACTAGTTTTATTTATAAAAAGGTCTAGTAAATCGTATAATTTTTCCGCGGTATTTTGCGGAAGCCTTAAAATATAATAAGTTTTAAATTTCCGACGGAAAAACAGTACCGATTTTATTTTTTTATATGGTGAGTGATGCACCCTTATGCACATAATTTATTCACTTCAACCATTTATCTAATGACTAATTTATAAATCTACTTACTTATGTATCCACATTTATATATGCATATAAATATCCTGTTTAGGCATTCCATATGCAGCTAAAACATTCATATTTGATTACGAATAGCTAAAAAATGCTAAGTGAAGTACGAATTAAATTACCATACAATATTCTTGTGCCCATTTTGGGCAAAACGTAATTCAATGCTTCAGTGCAGCGCATGAATAATCCACATTAGCGACCAGAATAGGGTACATAGCATAAGGCATACATATGTACATATGTATGTACATACATCGCTGGCCCAAAGCTTGAATAGTAATGAATCAATGAATTGCGAGCAAACGAGCCGCGTTGACAAGATATTGCAGAGCAGCTGCAATTGCTGCACATATTTTGTTGTTGGGAATGTTTTTTTTTTTTTGTAAGCTTGTATGTATGGGTATGTGTGCACAGATTGTTACCGCGCAAATTTGCTGGCCCAAAGCGTGGAGCGCCACCACCGACCGAACTGTGTGGCCTATCAGCAGCGCGCCAAGCATGAAGATCATTTGGCAAATATTTGCAAATTATGACCGTATCGAAGTTAAGCAAAGCAATAAACAGAAATGTAGCGCAAACTTGCACAGAAATGCAATTCGCCGGCCTGGAAATGGTGTGCAGTGGTTTTAAACTGGTTGCTTATTGTTCAAACGAAATTTGCTGACTAGTATTTATGTATGTGACTCAACTCGCCCAAGTACTCGCGCTTGGCAACTATGATATTCTTGGCTTATAAAATTTTCCTCTATTGCAACGATTTCGAATGTTGACCATCGAATATCGCTGCTGGTGCTGCCGCACCAGTGCCACGTCATAAATTACAATAACGGCGTCTAAAAAAAAAAAAAAATTGAACTGCGCTGAGCACTCAGACGCTAGGCTAGACAAATGAACAGCCAAAACACAACCTAGTTTTCGAATTTTGTGCACCCAAACATGTTTTGCTTGCGGCCTAAAGAGCTGGTAGCGGACAACGAGGGATTAAAGAGATAAATATCATTATTTTAATGTTAAAATATGCATTAAATTCTTGTCTCCAAAATTTAATAGAAATCACTAATTATAATTTAATTTGTGAGTTAGTTTCTCTAAAAGCATTATAGAAATACGAGTTTTATTTGGAAATGGCATAAAACTGCATTTGGTTTAGATCGATGAACCAATCGCTGTACATTCCGTTTGCAACTCTTTGCACCAGGATAACGCTCTGAACCCTTCTGTTTTAGGCTTTCAGAAGTCGAACTCCGCTCCAGAAACTTATGTTAGCTGCGTTTGCCATAGACAACTCCATCAGAACTTTGCTTGACCGCACAATACTTATATGGCCCCATGCTTTTCCCTCCAAGTGGAGTCCACAGGCTCTACACTACCAAATACGTTCCGAGCGCTGAAGCAATCAAGTACTCAAGAAGCTCTCATAGCTTCTTGCAGCTCACTTTGGTAACATTTAAACATCCCCCGCTTACCTCACCTCATACATAAAAAATCTTGTCTAAATCCGTTCAGTAGCGTGATTAAAATATCTCGCCTTTCCTTTATACTATGTATAGAAGATAGTAATTTCAAATAAGTGGCAATCCTATTCAAACCACTTAAAGTTTTTGTACATGCGAAGGCCATGCACTTTCATTTGGTATCTCATTTTGTTATCCAATGGACGGTGAAGATCTTATAGTTTTAAAACAGGTGGCAACCCTACTCAGAAAAATAATACATTATTACACATCCAGAGGCTAATATTTTCATTTGACAGTGACGGTACAGAACTGATGCCTATGCTTATTATGATTGAATGTAGTAATTTTATTAACAGATGGCAACCCTATTCACAAAAAATATTTATGCTTTTCTAGAGGCCAATCGCTTTCATTTGACACCTCATCTTTTGTAATCCAACGAACGGTGCGGATCTTGGAGTTTTTAGACAGGTGGCAACCCTATTAAAACTCTAAGTAAAAAAAGTCAGAGTAACAATAAGCAGATTGGTTTACTTTCAAAATGATTTTTTGAGTTGAAATTTAAAAAATAATCATTAATTGCGGTCATTGGTTTTTTTCGTTTCTCGTTCAAACATTCTTAATAGCAGTGAAGCAATAAATATTAAGCGTATTGTTTTTTTTTTTTTTTTAATTTTCGTTCACAAACTCAGCAACAGGAAGCCCGCCAAATTCAAATTGCTAATAAGCCGTACGTACATTGGCGACCCGCCTACACAGTCAAACGTATGTATGTATGTATAAACACAAACGGAAGTGTGGGAATATATTTGGGAATTCTACCTTTATAGCTCTTTTGGAATTCTCGATTATTATCTAATACATTTTTAATATTATTATTTTTTCCTCAATTTCCTAAGTAGGCGAAGGGCAATGTCATTGCCACACATTTATTTACATACATACATATCTGACTATGCATATGTGTGTATGAGTGTACAAATTTTATACTCGTAATGTCTACCGTTCTACTTATAACTTTACACTGTTTCTAAAAATAGATNAAATCTCGTCAAAATCCGTTCAGTAGTTTTCGAGATTACCGCGTACAAAGTATCTGTTCTGACATTCCTTTATACTATGTATAGATAAAACTTCAAAAATAAAAATCAGTGGCACTGAAGATAGTCAGAGTAACAACGAGCAGATTGGTTTACTTTCAAAATGATTTTTTTGAGTTGAAATTTAAAAAATAATCACTAACTGCGGTCATTGGTTTTTTTTCGTTTCTCGTTCAAGCATTCTTAATAGCAGTGAAGCAATAAATATTAAACGTATTGTTTTTTTTTTTTTTTTGTAATTTTCGTTCACAAACTCAGCAACAGGAAGCCCGCCAAATTCAAATTGCTAATAAGCCGTACGTACATTGGCTACCCGCCTACACAGTCAAATGTATGTATGTATAAACGCAAACGGAAGTGTGGGAATATATTTGGGAATTCTACCTTTATTGCTCTTTTGGAATTCTCGTTTATTATCTAATACATTTTTAATTGTATTATTTTTTTCCTCAATTTCCTAAGTAGGCGAAGGGCAATGTCATTGCCACACATTTATTTACATACATACATATCTGACTATGCATATGTATGTATGTGTGTACAAATTTTATACTCGTAATGTCTACCGTTCTACTTATTACTTTACACTGTTTCTAAAAATAGATTAAAAAAAAGGCACAAAAGTCCCCAACATCTAACGCCAAAACTAATATGAACATATGTATGTATGTGTATATATAATATGTATGTACATACATAGCGTGCTTAATTATAAATACGAGCGGGCGTTTTGCATATAAAAATTTACCTCCTCCTGAATAATGGCGTCATCGACAACTGCTAACAGCTACTGGTATTTATTTAGTGTTGATGACGCGTCGGAATTTCTACCAAGTACGCTTGTAAGTTTGTACGATATGTATATAAATATGTAGTACAGTATGTATGTATGTACCCACTCTTAATTGCGATTAATAAAAAGGAAAAAGGTAATGAATGAAAAGCAAAACATAAATATTAGTTAATCATTGACAGCGTGAACTTCACATTATAAACATATGTATGTATGTATGTATGTATGTACACTGGCGGCAGAAATAATAGACTCGTCGTACTTTTATGAATTTTGGCTATGTTGCTTTAGTTTATTTTATTTTTAATATTTTTTTATAAAAGCCTAGGTAGATATTCAACAAACATCATTTAAATCTGCTTTTCAACTTTGAACAAAAATTATAAAAATGCGACAAATTTTCAAACTTTTTATTCCGAATTTTTAGAATTATTTTTGGTACGCAGTTTTATAGCTCATTCAATTTTAGTATAATAAAGTGCACGTTTCAAGTGGCTATAAAATACCGTTGTTTTTGACAATTTTTTTTGCCGCATACCAAAAATAATTCTAAAAATTCTGAAGAAAAAGTTTGAAAATTTGGTGAAAATTTGTCGAATTTTTATAATTTTTGTTCAAAGTTTGAAAAGCAGATTGACATGATGTTTGTTGAATATCTACCTAAGCTTTTATAAAAAAAAATATTAAACATAAAATAAACTAATGAAATATAGCCAAAATTCTCAAAAGTACGACGAGTCTATTATTTCTGCCGCCAGTGTATGTAAGTATGTATAAGCAATTTTTAATTTTACTTTTTTTTTCGTAATTAAATAAAGGCAAAACAGCTTGGTAGCAAAAATTCCAATGTCAGCATGTATGCGATTATGCAAGAATGACTCGGGCTATCAGCGGATATAGAAGCCTTTTTGTTGACCACACACAGATATGTATACTGCTGCCGATCTTAAGTGCGACTAACCACGATTATCGCTTGACTTGCACGCCTCTTAACACCTCTTACAACATATACATATGTACACACATACATATTTATGTATGTTTTTTGTTAAATTAAATTTGCCACCGACATGCATTTTAAAACAGTGAATAATGCGGAGTATTTGCAAAAATGATGTTAGCAAAAAAAAAAAACGAGTAGAGATGTACCCCTGCCGATGGATGAGTGTGGGCATGCGTTCGAGCGTGTGCGCTTGCTTGCACAGTAGCACATGTACTCGTACTAAATACTATGTATGTATGTATGTATGTATGTATGTATGTACGCAAATATTTTCACATATCGCATGAAGGTCAATAATAGAGGTTGTTTTGTATTGTTGTTATCGGACTAAATGATGGCTTCTGTGTATTTATTGCATATTTATATATATGAATATTCTTTGTTATGTTGGTGTTGTTGCAGTCGTTGTACGAATGCTAATCGTTTATAATTTTTGTATGTTTACTACTCAACGGTAGCCACAATGACCACAATAACGGCTGTTGAACTTATTCAATGTTTGTTGTTACTAAATGTTTGCTAATTTTAGTGTTGTTGTATTGTGTTGTTATTCTCACATTCCTTGTAGAGAAAATTTTAATCAATTCGACAACAATTGTGGACCTTATGCATAAGAAGTGAGCTTAAAGTCAGACTCAGTATTAGCACTGATCGAGTGAGCTCAAGAATTTGTACTGAAAATCTAGAGAGAACTTAATCTCACTTTTTTATGCTTAAGACTAGGTATGTTTATCGTTATAAGTGTTACTATCGATATTATAGGTATGATATAGGTACTAGGTAAAATAGTAGTACTTGTAGGTTAGCTTAGGAAGTCCTATTCATACTATGAATATCATTAGAAGGTGAAACTCTCTAACTGAAGCTTACCAAAGTGTTATAAGAGTATCTGTTAAACCTTCCCTTGCCCTTCTAAGGGCCGATAGATTCACTTCCGTTATCTACAAAAAAGTTGATGAAAAAACGAGATACCAAGCAAGCACTTGTTCGGAGAGCTGGAGCCCGTGTACACTTATTCGGCTTGCTGCGACAATTTTAAATCCATAAAACTAAGCACCCTTTTTGATTAATATGAGAAAGATCATTTACAATAAATAATAAATATCATCTTTTATTGAGAAGTTCATTGCACTTAGGTGATGCTACCTATACACGTAAAAGAAAACAAAAAGGGCGTGAGTCGTGCTATTACTGTTTCGATTCTAGTAATGCATTTTAAACTGTACCTCAATTTTTTTTGTTAAATATCAGCTAGACTACTCAGGCTTTGAGGGCCCCATAAATAAGAGGGTAATTGAAAAGTCAGTGAAAGGTATATTTTTTGGCGAAAAAACATTTTATTTCTCAACATACTTATCTGCGGTGTTTTCGTTTCTACCAAAGAATGTTGCCTTTTGATTTCCCTTTTCTCTTTTCGTGTTCGATTCTAAAATAAAGGCAAAATTTTAGAAAATTTTGTGTTCAAAAGAGGCACATTATATGCCCTTTGAAGCTTTTTCAGGAGAGAAGGTTGCCTTGAAACCCAGATGGAGGGACTAGGACAAAAGGGCAAAAACATGCCCTTTTACAGTGTTGAGTGTAACATCCAAGACATTTCGCAGTCAATAGAGCAACATTTTTTGGAAGAAAAGAAATCACCATTAGTCTCCTTTTCGCTCTATATATTCAGTTTAGCGCCTTTCCAATTTTTTAATTCTTCCAAATAATGGGTTTTCATGGACCTCAAAATAAGCATTGGTTTCAGTGATGACCTCTTCATTCGACCCAAGTCTCTAACCACCCAGCCATTTCTTTGGGTTTGAAAACAGCAAATATTCGCTGAGGGCTAAATCTGTTAAAAAAAATAATGCTTAATCAGCACGCAAATATCACTTTTTCAATTTTTTTTTTTTTAATTCACGAGGTTGTCTGCTTTCAATGACTTTCAAACACAAACTAAATAGCGCAACTCAAGATTTTATAGTAGTCTATTAATCGATGAATGGCAGTTGACAAGAGCAGTATTGCATTTAAAATTTACTACGCGCGAAATTCAAAAAGTCACTGACTTTTCAAATTTCCCTTGGTAAAGCGTAGACTGAGGTATTTTTTTTTCGTTGTGAACAAGACAAGAGTACATACCTAATACTAGTTCCTGCGGGGCATTCACATACATACACATGTATGCATCTTCAGCATACATTGCGTATACGTAACATAATTTCATCTTTAAATAGCTGCTTTTTATTGCTGTTTCGCCTGATTATAAATAATTATATTTAATTGCAGTATTTAAACATTGCTGCGGTATGCTCTGCTAATTGTATTCACTTGTAAAAAAAAATGCATCTGCATATACATTACGGTTTGAAATTTTTTACGAGCACATTTCGGACTATAATTTTTCTATGTATCGTGTTCTATTTAACAACGGTTTTGTAGGAGTGAAACAAGAAATATATCAAACTAGATTGCTCTCACCCGCTTTGCTGAGCGTATGAAATTTCTACGTGCTACATTGGGTGTAATTTATTTCAATTAAATTTAAACTTTTTTACTGTCTTCAAACTGAAAAATTAGAAACTCATAAAATAAAAAATAAAAAAATAAATTAACTTGTAACATAAATATATTTTTATAAAATAAAGACAGTATTTTCCATGTAGGAAAAATATGTTTCTAATTTGTACATGTAGTTTGAAATGAAGCCATTTCTAAACCATTTCGATTGATACCCATATTGTAGAAATTCATTAAAATAATTGAATAGTTTGAATTTTACTTCTTAAACCGTTAATTCCCTTAATTCAAGTTGAATTTGATTTTTCAAACAGGTGGCAGCCCTCCTCCATGAGTATGGAATTGATTTTATATATATCTAAACCAAGTTCCAGTACTCTATCAAAACTATTTCCGGAGATATGCGGTGTGAAAAATTCCGTTTGTAAAAGAGGTACCATGCCCCTCGTCTAATCGAGATTAACTCTATCCTATATTTAGAGTTAGACTAAAAGGCACCTGTGTACAAAATTTCACGAGGATCGGTTGAGTAGTTAAAGCGTGAAAGCGTAACAAATAAACACACTCTCTTTCGTATTTATAATATTTATAAATAAGGATTACTTTTTTTTTATATATCTAAAGTGCAAGTTATCACTCTCATAAATTTCTCTATTTCTATTTTTACTGAGAAACCGCTTAACAAATAATGGACTTTCAGGAAGCCCTTTACCCACCAAAGTGTTATAACTACATACATAAACTCATGTATGTACATACGTAACATAAGGTACATTTATTGGAAAATTTATTGTAAATACATAAACATTAACGCTTCTTTGTTGTTTAACAACATTTACAAATGAAAGTTTTCCATAAGTTTCATCTGCCAACAGACGTAAACAAGAAAAAAACACAATTGCACGATTGTAACTACAATGTAGCTGGATTGCACTGGGAGAGATGCACTTTAGTTAGATAATAGCAGAGTTACTTACGTACTTACCGAAACACACACACTCCCATTCACACATTCATCTTTCTGCTACTTGCTACAATTTGTAGTAAAACAAACGTTTATCGATACCCTTCACAACACTTCCTATGGTTGTTGTTGTTGTTGGCATTGCACTTTTTACTTAACTGCTGTTTGTATTTTATACTTTTTAATGTTTTTCGATTTGTTTTTTAACGCTTCTACATTTTATTTATTTCACTGACTTGCAAAGTGCTGTCGTTGATTGCATTCAACTGCATACTTTCTTGCCACTACTGATGCGGCAGTTGTTGCAGATGTACGTACATACATACATACACTTATGTACATATGTGAATATATACATATATGAAGGAAGATGTATACGCTGCATCATCATTTGCAAAGATCATTGAAAGAAATGCTTATAATAAAAATCGTTGGTTGTAGCTGAGCTTTCATGCTGAGTGGTGTCATTTGTATCGCAACAAAAAAATAAGCTACGGGAAAGGAGTTCACGAAAAAAAAAAATAGTAAATGCTATGTGTTCAGACTTGTGGGAGTTTAATTAAAACANAAAACAAAAACCTATAATCATGATTTTCGATCTATGTCGATTAAGGAAATAGAAAAAAGAGAAATTAAGAGTGGCAAAATGTATGCGGTCGTAAGTTGGTGAGTTGCAATTTATCTATGCAATGTTTGTGTCTGCAATGCAAAGCTAAGCTTACATTTTTTGAGCTGCAAGCGGGCCGCATAAGGAAAACAATCGTTTGTGTTGAATATTTATTTACATATAAGAAATTGAATTGAATTTGAACAGCAATGCAGATAATCAGCCTTATCGTGAGTTTCATTTTTCCCGAACCGTTTGATTTTTAACTTTTCGTTTCGATATATTTACTATGGGCGGATTTAAAATTTTTATTTCGGGCGAAACTCAGGATTTGGCGGAATAAAAGTCGTCAGTATTCAACAGCCGGCGTTCGCTCGCAACACTATAAGTTTTATTCAAAGTTTGCCAATCAGCATGACTCCAAAACCGGTTTTCGCGTTATTCGAAAGAATGCAATTTGAAAAAGCCGGTTACCAATATTAAAATTAAAAAAAAAAGGATAATCCGGTTTTATTTCACATAGTTTTCTTACAAAGAAAATGCTTATGTTGCTATGAAGTCATGACCAAAAATTACAATAAAACTATCAACAGTTTTTGTTTAGAAAACTACGCAAAGTTTTCGAAATGATTCAGAAAAGTTTTAATTGCCCGAAAAATTCCGAAAATCTTAAAAAATTCGGATAAATTCAGTAAAATAAAATAAGAAAAATCTCGAAAACAATAAAAAAGTTCCCAATAATCTAAAAAAAAAAAAAAACAAATAATGCCGAAAAGTCCTGAATAAATCCAAAAAAGTCCGAAAA